ACATTTTGACTTATTTTACTTGGTGTTCAACTCCTACGCATCAGCACTGATCAAACGACATCCTCTCCCGAAATGAGAAAATGATTTCTGTTGATTCATTCTCCTTTGTCTTGTTCAAGGAGAAAGTTAATTGAAGAGCTACGTTAGCCACTTGTGGCATTTGCTACGATATATGTTTGTAGATGAGTTGTTGTAAGTGTTCTTGTTAATTAATCCTAGTAAGTTATTTCGCTACTCATAGTTTTGGCTTATAAGTTAAAATGATGATCGATAGAAAGTTTCTCCTGACATGAATTCAGTGTGAGACAACTGTCCCATTTTAGTACGCCTCTACAGTAATACAAATATGTTTAATTTAAGTTCCCCAAAAAGGAGCAAAGCCTTATTTACACTAAGAATGACACAATTTGACATTTTTGTCCTCAACTTCACCTTTTATCAGTCTTTTCCAGGAAAAGACTAGCGTCTTTATTTTTAACCATTTTTAGAGATATTTTCTCGCACTCTCAACCGAATTCATGTCAGTCGATAGTTTCTACGTGAAATAAAATATATTCAAATTAAAAAGAGCGAGATGTCTCCTATTTTTCTAGGTGCTTGCTGAGTAAACATCTATTGATATAATTTCTACTTTTGACCACGTACTGTATTTCTAATTAGGATGCTCGATTTTGCGAACACATTATCAGTTAATTTATGGAAACGTTTAACCAATCATTTTTCGACAAGAAGCTTAACACCTCTTGAATTTTCAACAACTAAGAAACTTCTGAACTGTAATTTTAATCCTTTATCTTGTTGTTGTCAAAAATTCATGTCAAAATAAGTTCTTTATAGTTTTTATATTGCTCTCCTTATTTTATACTGACTGGACAAACACAACTTCATGGAGAAAAGTCAAAAGTTAAAATCACTTTGACAAAGTACACATCGGGAAGGTCTAATGCAAATTAGTCCGCTNTGAATTTTCAACAACTAAGAAACTTCTGAACTGTAATTTTAATCCTTTATCTTGTTGTTGTCAAAAATTCATGTCAAAATAAGTTCTTTATAGTTTTTATATTGCTCTCCTTATTTTATACTGACTGGACAGCCACAACTTCATAGAGAAAAGTCAAAAGTTAAAATCACTTTGACAAAGTACACATCGCAAAATGTAATACAAATTAGTCGGCTGTAACCAATCAGGTTAGACTTACGTCAGCTTTAGTTTATTTTAAGCAGCTGGTTGTTCGTTTGATAGAAAAAACGGGAACAGAGAGAATAGAGAGAGAATGTAAAACAGGAGTTGAGCAAACTTCGTGACATCGGACTAAAGAATAAAATGGAGTCAATTGAACAAAGTAATCGTCTGTTTGTTGTGAGAACCAGCTAGTTCCCCAGAAAGGTTCTTCAATATTCTAACATCAACATCTCCTGATCCACATTTCCTGATCAAGTTGCACTGCTAACAAATGATAAACTTCGGATCAAAAATCTTCTAATGATTGGCTCGTCCTATAAATACAAACAGTGTTTCAAACTCAAAGTGTTAATACAAGCTGTCCAAGCTGGTTGGTTACCCTAGCTACCTCTTGCTCAATATTTCCTCTTAATGTCCCAACTCATATAAAACAACATCCAGTAGATGTACTAGATGCAGCCAAATTTTTAGCAGAAAAAATAAGGAACTGCCTGACACTCGCAGTCTACATTTTTTTTTGGAAATAAAGCTGCGTCAAAGGATGAATATTTTTGACGGGCTATTTGTGACGTAGAAATTTCACACGTAAAAGAGTACCAAACACGCGCCAAGCCACATGCTTAAGCTGTGGCCTTCTCCGATCTCACGTGCTGTACAATGGAGCACGCTTCCCTTCACGTTTACACAGTGAGTTACGTAATGTAAACTCAGAACGACAGGCATCCCAGGGTTGGAATATGATATGAGCGCTCCTGATGAGCGTTTATTTCGTCGTTGTTATTTCAGCATCCGGGGGGAGGGGGGGGGCTTCGCTGGGAAACTTGCTTGGGTGCTGCAGGATCAAAGATACCTTGGAACAGGCCTTAGCCTACACCAGGCTTTTTTTTACCTTATTCTGAAGTAAGTTTTAAAATTCAGTTCTAGCCCGTCAAATCCCGACTAAATTAGATAGTTACTTTCCCCTTTTCAACTCTGCATCGCTTTAAATGATACCCAATTCTAAGGCAAAATCCTCTGATTTCTATACCCACACCACGCAATCGGCTCATGACCCCACCCCAGACTATACTGCTTGAAAACCTTACTCTTCACAGCGAGTGACAATGATCATGACTCACACTACCTCCTCTCCCGGACAGAAAAGGACAGAAAAGAGAAATTAGATTATCGCGGTACTTTGCACTAAGGCACGCTTACATAATTTTCTGGAACAAATTGCTTATTCATTGAAACAACTTCAATGCCTGCCCATCAATTCTGCTCTTGTAACCGCAGCAGGCCGCACTCGTTTATCAAGTTACAAACAGTGAAGTCAATAGCGAACTCATAATTGCTCAAAATACGGGACTTTAGCCATGCATATTTTTTCAATTCCTCGCTATGCTGTTAAACCTACTATGAATCCTGATTTATTATGAGCGTTACTGACCAATATTCTATCCACCCAAGAGCTTCTTGATCCACCTCGGCAAATTGAGAGGGCTCCCTGTAATACATTCTAATAACGCAATTCCCGTTAAAAAGTCATGTACAGGACCCTTGAAGTTCTAGTCATTAACTGAGAAACGTTAAACTGCGATAAGATGGAACAATTTTTAACCCTCTTAGTCAGTAACGACAATGAGGAACCAAAACCAGTGGAGGAATGAAAATTTATTCGACAACCGGGAAGAGGGACTCGAAGCTTACAGTGCCTAGCCTGTGAACAGGCTCTCTGTTTGGGGACAAATAGCGAGGAAAGGGAAAGGAGGGGCTTTTCCCTCTCCCCACCCCGCTCGACCAAACGCCTGTTCACAGGCTAACAGCGCCTTCCTAGTGTGGCGTGATATACAAGCGTGGTTTGAAACTAAAACGGTACCCAGCAAAAGCAAATAAAAAAAATCAGAAAAGAACTAAAACTGCAACTGAGATAGCCTGCGTAGCAAGCGTTTCCAATCGAGTTATTGCGCGAAAGTTAGAGCGGAGAGTTAGAGAGGTCATTCATTTTTTTTTGCTCTTGTCCCAGCTTTCTAGACGAACCTCGCGAGGAAACGCTTGCTACGCAGGCTACAACTGAGACGGAGCAGACAGCGTCATCGTCGAAAAAATTCTTAAAAGCACCGCAGAAGAGAACTACGCTTAGCCGTGGACCAAAATGCCACTAAACAACTCGGTAACTGCATAACGACGGTGTAAAACGCAGTTGTTAATGCAAAAAGAAAACAGAATAATAAAATAAAGGAGCTAAAAAAGGCGCTAATTAACATGAAATTACACTGGGCTGGGAGGCTATAGCGAGGCAAGGGAACAAAAAAATACGCCTGGTGAGCTCTTACAGTTGATGGGCCTGAAAGTGTAATAATATTTTGACGGTAAATCATATGTCTTTATTTGACTCAAGTAGCAACGTGCATGGTTTTGCCAAGGTTTCACCTTGACCACGGTTCGTCGCACACGTTTGTTCACTGACCAGATGCATGGCCGGGTAACGAAACTGTAACCATAACTATAGAAAAAGGATTAGAGATGGCCCCTCTGGGTAAACAGAGGATCTGTCAGGCGAAGAGAATAAACGCACGTGAGTTTTGCCTCTTAGTTTTTCAAGAGCACAAGTGACAGAAGCTAAAAAAATGGTTAAGGTGATTACCTGGTGAAAGAGCATAACATAGATTTTTGATGAAAATTGGTGCAGACCAAAACACGGCATTTTCCTTTATTCCTTTGTTTACCCATCTACAAACCAGAAAAGAAAAACATTAATTTATTGCTGAAGCTTTTGTACGGCTTGTAATGCGCATTGAGAGACCAGCGAATCTGGCGTTACAGAATTATAATGAACTGAATGCACATTACTCCACTCAGCCAATCAGAGAGCTTCAAGACTAAGCTAATTACAGCTAGGCACCAGGGCGGGGTCTCAATAGGGTTTAAAAAAATTAACCGTCAACCGTCAAAAAAGGTCGACCGTACACCGTCAATCTCACTATTTCAGCCGTTCTTCACGAACTTCTGGGTTATGAAGAATCTTTTAAAACATTTCAAGACCCCTAAAACTTGCTTATATATGAAAATATTTCGAAATTTTACGTGTTTAAGGCCGAGACATCCTCCAAAATACAACATTAAATATTAATTTCAACTTAAACGCTTGGAATTAATTTCCATTAATAACCATCAAAAGCTATACCGTAAACCGTCCAAACTGGAAAAAAATAACCGTCAACCGTGAGAACCACCACCCCATTGAGATGCTCATAAGGGGAGAGTATGAAAGAGTGTGAAATAGCATGCGAGCAAGCTTTCATTAGTACTATGGGATAGTGAGAAGTCACGCCCAAGAGTTTCTGAAATGTAGTGATAGTTCATTCTTTACATCCAGGGGTTGTCACACAGTTGCGATATAACGGACACAATTTGCATAAAAAGGGCTTTTTCTTCCTTTTTTGGTTGCTAATGTTCCGGAAAAGTAATGGGGAAAGTGATGAGTTATTTGCTTAGCATCACACTATAGGGCTACGACAAAAAATGCGCCCTTTTCTTTATTTCTTTGGCTTTTTTTTTTTTTTTTTTTTTTTTTTTTTTTTTTTTTTTTTGCGTTTTTCGTGTCTCGAGGTCAAATTAAAGTTAGTTCGCATAAGCATTTGTGCACAATAACAATTCCAGTTCAAGCGTTAATAGTAAATGTACTTTTATTGACCCGTCCCGTGTAACAAGAATGATGATGTAAAAAGGATAAAATCTACAAATAGGAGCATATTAAGTAACACAGTCTCCATAAAAAACCCGAAACAAACCCGACATATTGGAAGCAAAAAAAACTAGTTTCGATGCTTGGAATTTACAAATTATTTCCTTTAGGGCTTTGATTTTTACTAATGAGCCAGACCTCATTATGACGATTGAACATTTTCATTGGATCGTCGTAACCAGCAGAATAAATAACATCATTGCGGAAATCATCGCCAAATCCATCTCTTTGAAGGGCTGCCACAAGAGCTTTGTAGTTGCGTTCTACCTTCCATTTGCTGGACCAGCCGCCATAGACTTTCACGTAGGCACAAAATGGCTCGACTTCTTCCAAACGGACGTTTTCTTCAGTTGGTGCGGGTGCGTCTATCTGATGCTTGAACGGGATGAAGAAGCTCATGGTGGCGTTTTCTTTACAAAAGGAGTCGGAAGTGTCGTCGAGTTCCATTCGCATCACTACTGGAACTGTCATATTAATTTTCATCTTTTTCTCATTTTCTCCTTGGATGTATCTGAAGAGACGCCAGAAAGCCTCTGTTTGCTTGCTTCTACTTCTTCTTCCTGAATGACAAGAAAAAGATCAATTAATACACGTATCATTCATGAATTCCTTCAGGGGAGTGGCATCCTAACCGATGGACAGGAAATGGACAGGGTATGGTAATCGAGTATGATATGATTAAAATTAACTTAATTTTCCTCTACCCTAAAGGAATTTTTTAGTGAAGATAAAACAAATAATTCAGGAACATAAAAAGTAACCTGGTTTAGAATCCTAACTAGTAGGAGGAGAACTTGTTTATTCTTTTACAAACGTGGCCGAGGATTTGATCTCGGGGCTACCTATAACAAATCCACGATTTCTTCAAGTTCTTTTTCATGTAGCTTTAAGCAACTTTTAATACCCTTAATTATCTAGCAGAGGGGGAAGGGGGAGGGTGCATGAGTAAAATAAGCGCACTAGCAATTTTGGTCTCATTTTGCTCTCTCCAATTTATGAAATTCTGATACACATGTATATTCATCACTCAATTTAAGTCAGTTTAATTTGGTAATATGGTTAGGGTTTAGTAGCCTTGACTGAAGGACCTACCAGCTGTGATGTATTTTAAGAGGCGGGGCATGTAAGTTTCCGACTCTTCGCTTCCTCGGCCTATAAGAAGAATGCAAATCGATACTCTGAATATTTATTTTAAAGTTGTTACATCCTCCACCAATCCCCAGAAATACTAATGTATCAACCTTTCCCTTGTTTATCTAATAAATGTAAATCGAATTCGAAAGTAACAGGCTTTGACGATGTTCTTCCAAAGCCCATTAGATAGTGCCCAGTAAAAACCAGCGTAGAATAACCTAGTGTTTAAGAACCTGCTGGCAGAAATTTGGCACTTTTACCCCAAAATATAAAAACTTGTTTAGAAAATTGAAGTACCAGAGTTAATCCACTTTCAGTTCCTGTGTGGTTACAAAGATATTTGAATCCAGAACGTTGACTATGCAGCAGTAAAAAATACTCGGACAGGCCAAGAAAACATCGTCAGGTCACAAATCGGCTTCTTTCTTAATTAGCACTTACTCTACTGTTTCTGTGTTATTTTATGCAAACCTAGAGTATGCAGTATGTATTTACTGTTAAAATAATATATCATAATTACCATTGAACGTTGTAGACACCCATTTGTAAGGTTTTGGATAACAGCGCAAAGTGTAATCCTTGCTAGAGACGTTTAGCTTCTTTTCATAGAAATCAGGGCAATCGTAATCACCGCAGAATCGAGGCTCGGAAGAATCACATGAAAGGAGTTTAGTGCTGAAGGGAAGTTGGTATTTGCAAGCCATTTCTTTACCCGCAGACATTAAGCCGTGGAAAGAGCGTGTAATTTTTCCAAGCCAACTACCTCGAGGTCGCGCATCGGCAGAAACCAAGAAGACGACAGAAAGAACAAGGATCAGCTTCATCTGAAATGACATTAATAATAAAAGATATGAGAACAACTTTCTTGAAAGAAATGTTGAAAAGGCGCTTCAGGTAGCAGCAGCTAAACGAAAATCTGACCGTACTTGTCAGATAGAAATCGACGTCTACCAACAATTCAAGTTACTGGAGTTATTGGCGAACTATCAAGAAATAGGTAAGAAAAAAACCCTCTGGAAACCAGAGTAAAAATCCCGGTAAAAATAAAATAAAAAGAGTTCCAACATACGTAGTAATTAATAACTAGAGGGCATCGAAGTATTAAAATCACGGTGAACACAGTACTCATAGACTTGACAGAAAAGAACTCGCTAATTTTGTTGACTGTAGATAAATAAGAGGCTTTGAGGCTTTTTTCTCTTCTGAAGAGCCAAATACCCTTTTTGTGTTTAAAGTCCTTGAAATCTCTCTTATCCCAACAAAATAATCAGTGGTTTTTTAATGACACTGACACGGAAAGCACTTTTTTCAATATAAAGGTTAATAAAGAAACTGATCGTCGGTAACATATAATCATAAAAGACTAAATTGAAAAGAGAAGACACATCATGCAAAACTGAAGCTAATGAACGCATCTCATTTTGTTACTTTCACCGCCTACTAATTCAGCAGAGTAATCTAGTAATGGGCGCTTATGCAAGTAGAGCCCGGATCTCCACAACCTGTCCGCGGCGAAGATACAGTTACATACCACGTATCTATCGGCCAGCAACATATATTGCACAACTACTTTACACCCGAATTCTGAAGGCACAAGCAAGTTCTTTATAATCAGGGGATTTCATCAAGGATTCTTTTGGCAAATCAGCCGAACTCGAGCTCATCAAAAGGTGAATTGTTTTTGAAAGAGGTGATCTGAATAAAGCTTACGTACCTTAACTCTCTGCAACTTTTTCCACTCCGCTATGACTCCGTTGTTCACGGCTGCAGTGTAAAGGACCTGAAGCTTGAAAACACGTCAGAGGATCTAGGCTTTATAGGAAAAAGGTCACGTTTTGCCGGGTTTCATTTTACCATGGCTGGAGACTTGCCAGGTGACTTTGCAGTTTTCATTCAAGTTTTAAGTGACACAATAAACATATTAGCATTGGACTTTGACAGGTAACCTGGAACTTTGATATGTGGCTCTTCCTCTCTTCTGCCGAGCCAGGCCGAAATCATGCAAGACAGTAAATCATCAATAACTGCTGACCAAATATTTAAATTGAAATCTAGGGGTGTTCAGCTGGGAGCCCGGAACACGCAGTAAGACCCACGCAGAGCGTGCTGTTCTCCAATATTTTATTAATATTATTTACAATAAGCAATGCTTTTTCCCTTTTTTTTCAATATTTTATTCGGCAATGCCATCTACTCATGGCAATACCAATAAATGTTGATGTTGTTGTTGTTGATTTTGCTGCCGAAGAAGGCAAGAATCCCAACCCAGGCCACAGGCAACCCAAGCTCAATGTGAGAGTGCGTGCGGCTGCGTAATTCTCAAATAGCCGTCAACATAAAGGATTTGTATTCGAGAAGTCAATTGATATCATAGGCTTCGAGCCTATTGATATCATTGCTCAAGTCAATTGATATCATTCCGGGTATCGAACTCGCGTGCCGAGAAGTCAATTGATATCATAGGCTTCGAGCCTATTGATATCATTGCTCAAGTCAATTGATATCATTCCGGGTATCGAACTCGCGTGCCGTTGATGTGTAGTCACGTGCCTCACGTGCGAGGCTCACATTCACTGAGTTACGTAATGATAAGAGGGACATCCCACGGGCCACCACTCAACACTTGTGCTTGGTGAGAGTAGGTTCGCCGCTCATGTTTTTTCAGTGTCTGAAATCGAACAAGGGAGTAAACAGTTCGAGATTTTCACGCAAGCAAGCACGAGGCGGCCGTGCATGCGAGAAAGGCACGGTGACGGGGTTTTAATATTTAGAGACGTTTAATTTCTCTTGTTGATATCTTAAACTTAGCATGCGTTTGACGGAGGAAGCAGAGTAGACTGTGTGAGCGCCGAAGGCGCGAGGGTGGCTTGCGAAGCAAGCGCATGCCAGCGAACACTGTGACGAACACTGTGACATAGGCCTGCATCCTTCTGGTTATGAACTCCTGTATTTTGTGATTTTGTTTATCTATTTATTCATTTATTTATCTATTTATTCCCGACGCACGTGTCACGTGCTCCACGCCTGCTTAAGGCTTTCTTTCGATCGCCTGAACTTGACCCATTTTCCTTTGTCTTGCTTTAGATACTAGAGCGGTTTTCATTTGAGTGTCGAAAAGTAATTGGTTTTGCACTTTCTACACGATGCGATTGGCTTAAAAGATTCGCGCCACCTTTTCATCCAATCAGAAGTAAAACCAAAGCCAATTGTGACGCGCTCGCATGCATTTTCCCGCGCTTTGCGTCAGCCACATGTAATTACTTCGAGTTATGATTGGTTCAATGTATTGTCTGTGTCCTATGTGATTGGCCAGAGTAATTACTTTGGTTTTGGTTTTACGACACTCAAACGAAAACCACTCTAAATGCAAAATATCATATTTTGAATTGGTATATGGCCAGTTCACAAATAGCACAGACTCAACAGGTCCAAATGGCATCTGGGACTGAGAGATTTTTTGTTGCATTGCAGGGCTTCGTTTCGGAGGGAAAAGCTTTTGGAAAAGCGTCTAGTATTAAATGGAAGGAAGTGTAGGCGGATAGTGGAAGAAGATTTTTGCTACAATTTGGATATGTAGAACAACATCCCGTGAAAATTCAACATCCTGCAAACAAGAACTAGGTCTCGGGTGATCTCATTCAAAACATAAAGCACAGGAAATGAATTATTAATATAAGATGGGCTCCTGTATAAGATAAATAGACCAGCTTCATGACCTCTAAATGTGAGACCGCGGCCAAAATTAAGATTTGCTTAGTCAATTAGTTTAGAATCGACTTAACTCTATGCACTGCATAACCTGCGCGTTAAAAAATAAAGTAGGAAAACCTCTGTTGTTCAAGCAAACTCTAAGGTCACGTTTCACGTGCCTGGCCTATCCACACTTCAGTTTTCACGCTAAAAAAAAAGGTCTCTCTTTTGTCGTACAGTCTCCCGCCTCGCGCCTTCAGTCACGTGCGTGGTCATTTGCGTGTTTCGGGCGTTTTGCTTGACGGACCAAGAAAAAAAGAGAGACTGCTGGTAGTGTAGATTTTTATCGGAATTTTCAGGTCAATTTCTCATGCTCTCTTGTTCGACTTCCTCGACTGAATCAAAAAAGGAAGAAAAAAGTCCGATCCGTGTACAGGCTGGTTAAGAGGCAGAAAAAACGCCTGTTCCGCGGGGCGCTGGCCGGCCAATACTTGTTCTGAGCCTATTTCCTATAACCCTCTTTCGCGTTGTTCGAGCCAAATGGGAAGATCATGCACAGGGTCCAGAGGAGATATGTTTGTCGTTAGAACATCAAAGCCCGTCGAAAAGCTCCGAAAAAATGGGTTATTTTGATCGCGTTAAAGTTTCGTTACACATTCTATAGACCGCAAACCATTTATAAAGATGCCATTGGGCTAATTAATCGTGCTAAGCGAGAGTGGTATAGACATTTTTCAATGAGACTTTAAATAAGTAAGTCATTTATTCACACGAAACTCCTCTGGACCCTGTTGATCAAGCAATAACGACGACAGCTGCTCTAGTGTGAAGGTCGCATGGCAGCAAGTATTCCGTAATGCGTTTTGCGGTGCATTCTAGTACGACCTGAAATTTCCTAATTTTGCTTTTAATTGAAGCGTAAGCAAAAGACATCTTTGATTCTTTGCCTTTTTCTAAACTCGGGAGAATTCGCCTAAATGAAACGCCGAAAATTGAACGCTATGGCGATGAAGTTTGAAACAGCGCCACTTTACTTTTGAAGTTTTGACGTTTTGTTTTCCCTTTGAGGAATGCGCCTTTAAATGCCGAGTGCGGAAAATGTGAAGGGTGATGGGAAAGAAGTAAAAGAGTAAAAAGAAGAACGGTTGCCTTAACGATCGCAATTCTGCGCGCAATGATTCACTCCGGCATTGTTTTCCACACTCCCAGTTTTCCCGCATCAATCCATCTAACCCGTGTTGTTGTTTTATCTTCCTAATGCACCCCATCTGACCACGTTACGGTAATAAAAAATTGATAGAAGGAAATAATTCGCACCATTTAATTCAGTTCGACCGTGAACAATAGTCTCTTCTCTTGACTCGAGGACTTGTAATAAGTTTCCTTTACACCGCCAATGACTTACCTTCCCCACAAATAATAATTTTAAAACCCTTTCTAAGTCAGAATTACAAGGAATTCAATAGAGATATTAGGATATGCACTTTAATTGCGTCTGTTAAGGTACTGATAATTACAAATGTACAAAAGATCAACTGCTACAAGCTGTAGCATAAAAGAGCAAAAATGAAATGTTTTTCTCGCTAAGACTTTCTCGTTTTTCAAAAATACCAAAATAACAAGTCTTTTTTTCGAATAAAACAAAACTGAAAGCGAAGAATAAATGTGCACAAAGATCACAGCCAAAACGTTAAGACCGTAAAATCTTTGGGCATAAATAGTCTTTACAGCCTGTTTCTAACAGCAGGGCTTTGATTTTTACTAACGAGCCAGACCTCATTATGACGATTGAACTTTGTCATTGGATCGTCGTACCCAGCTGAATAAATGACATCAGTGCGGAAATCATCGCCAAATCCATCTCTTTTAAGGGCTGCCACAAGAGCTTTGTAGTTGCGTTCTACCTTCCATTTGCTGGACCAGCCGCCATAGACTTTCACGTAGGCACAAAATGGCTCGACTTCTTCCAAACGGACGTTTTCTTCGGTTGCTGCAGGTGCATCTATCTGATGCTTGAAAGGGATGAAAAAGCTCATGGTGTAGTTTTCTTTGCAGAAGGAGTCGGACGCTTCGTCGGGTTGCATTTGCATTGTTACTGGAACTGTCATTTTGATCTTCATCTCCTCCTTGTTGCTACCAGAGATATATCTGAAGAGACGCATGAAAGCTTCCGATTTGTCGGTTCTTCTTTCTGTATGAATCGAGAAACATATTTACAAAATGTCAGACAAAATGTAGTTTTATCGTGAATCCCTGGAGAAAAGATAAAGAGCCCCCACCCCCCACCCCTACCACCGCTTTATTGAGGTAATTGCCGATAGGGTGTGGCTTTCGAGGAGTTCATTTTCATCTACATTCTCGCTTTAAATGGGTTCCTATCTGTTTCCCTGTCGAGGTCCTTTTTTAAGGTACCTAAAGCTAAAGTACAAACTGGGCCCCTGCAAAGTGTTGAGCCTTTAAACTAACGACAGCTCCAGTCTGCTACAAGATAAGAAACCTTTTGTTTTTCAAAAACGTTTGCCAGGGATAGCTTCGTCAGCGTATAGGTGTCTGAGCCTTCTTTAATTTCTTTCAGCTGAATGTTGTATACCCAAGTTCTATTATAACTATTAACAGTTCTTTATCATAATTACCATTGTAACTTGTTGACACCCATTTGTAGGGTTTGTAATAACAGCGCAGAGTGTAATCTTCAACTATTTTGCCAGAGACGTTCAGTTTCTTTTCATCGAATTCAGGGCAGTCATAACCGTTACAGAATGAATAAGGACCCGAGGTATCGCATGAAAGAAAATTCTTCAAAGGAAGCCATTCACTTTCGCACGCCATTTCTTTAGTCGCGGACAGCAAACCCTTGAAGTGGTATGTGATTTTTCCAAGCCATGAACCACCTCGAGGTCTCGCATCAGCAGAAACCAAAAAGACAACGGAAAGTACAAGGAAAAGCTTCATCTAAAATGACAATAATAATAAAACGCATGAGAATAAATTTCCTCGAAAACAGCTTCGATGGGACAATTTAGGTCAGGAGACTGTATTTTTTTTTTTCAGATTCACCCCCCTCTCCATCCCACCCCAAGAAAATGCATACACGTAATTCAATTACAGATTGCATGTCTGGAGCTCTATATTTTTAAAATTCTTTGCAAATTTGTTTTTAGGACTTTGAGGTACTTTGCGTTTCGGGGTCTTCGGGTTAGCCGGTATTCCCGAAAACTTACCCTGAAGCAAGAAAAAGAGCACGAAGTATGGAAGCGAAACTTCAACCATATAACCAGCAGACCGATGTCTTCAAAAGGTCTTTTAAAAATGAGAGAATTTCTCAGCAACAACTTGAAGATACAAGTTGGCTTTACGAAACAGAAGCCTAAGCATCAACACTTTGTTACGTAATATTTTAGTTAGGTGTTAAAGCCGACATGACTTTCATGCATGGTTATTCGCTAGTTTTTGTTTGCAAACAGATACCAAGAGCAAAGGAGTTTTCACTCCTAAGTGCCATATAGCACTGCATAACAAGGTAATGAAACCCGTTACCCCATTACATAAAAAAAAAAAACACTTGCGCTCTTAAAATTTTAAATTTTAACTTCTTCAAATAAACCATTCTCTTAGCTGTTATATAATTCAAACGCTGCATTTAAACTCGTAACAACTAACAAGGTCTTGGGTCTTTGGCCTTAATGGCTTTCGAGACACCCATAGACGGTTGCAAAAAAACGCACAAAACGCGAACAATAAAGGAAAGTATGGCATGGTGAATGATATTCACGTCCACTATTCTTAAAAAACGGGCACTTTCTAAGGTTAATTTTCAACCAGTGCACGCTTTAAAAATACCTGAATCAGCATTCGCATGTACATGTAAGCAAAAGCGAGGGTGATATGAAAAATCTTTTCAGAGCTTATATATATGGTATTGTTTAAAAACAGATGGAAACCAAAGGACAGTCACCTTCAAGCAGATATGGGAATTATCTGTCCTCTGCAAGTTCTTGGTTCTCCACTTAGCTCAGCTACAGTCTTGTTCTAAGCTTACCAGCTCTGCAAAGGGTCCTGCCTTTATAGAAAAATTAGTCACGTTTCACCGGGTTTCAGTTTACCAAGACTGGAGAATTGCCAGATGACTTTGCAGTTAATCAACACAGGTAGCCCAAGGTCTATTTGTGATGTAATCTAAAGCGAAACCAGTAGAACAGACAAAAATACAAACAGAGGACTAAAAGGTAAGTGAAATTTATTGAAGAAGAATGACAATAACTTATTTAATTTACCACGAGAATCGTTTATTTCTCCCCTATACAGTAAATCCTTCCATTTTCACTCAGATTACGCAATGTATATATCTCGACGCTCAGATTTAATACGTTACAAAGGTCCATAGACACAGAGCTTGGGCTACCTGTGAGATCAAGTGACAAATCTGTTGTTATGTTGGCCCCCCTCTCCTGCTGAGGCTGAAAACATGCAAGAGGCAAAAGTTTCATCACTGATGAATGAAACTGCTAGCAAAAATACAGAATAGAAATCCCCTTATGAAACTAATTACCACCAAAATGTATTCTTATTATTCAATCCTTTGACTTTACTAAGCTACCTGCCCGGGGACCCGGGCCCGGAGATCTATAAAATTGTGGTGGGTGGGGGGGGGGGAGGTACCGCTGGGATACCATACCAGTCCATTGTGACCCATGTTTAAGTGCAATTTTGCTTACGAATTCAGTTGTTTGTGTCACCAATTTTACAGTGTCTTGTCCTAGCTAGATGAGACAAAATAGAAAATAACTTTTAGAGAATGGAAGGGAAAAACTATGTCATGACATAAACGGACGTCTCTCGCACACGCCCGTGTCTGGAACATGCGTGTTGGTCTGCCTCACGTGTGAGCCTCACGCTCACTGAGTTACGCAATTATGAGAACCAAGTCAAAAGGCAGGGCAGGGCACTTATTTGTGGGTACCGTTGACTGATATAGACCAAAGACCCCACCAAAGGAATCAGCATTATTATCTCGCGGACGGTGCTTTCAGAGAGTGCGTGCTCCTGTGTCCCATTACAGAGATTGCCTCTTAAAGTTTTACTTCCATAAACGGCTCATTTCTTTGAGAGTTTTCACTCACGTTTCTGGTCGATGACACTGCAATGAGTGAGCATTTGTGAATTCATCCGCTGCAAGGAATATGCTATTCTCGGTACAGTCTGGCGAGTGAAGACACGTGCACAAGATCCAAACTTACCCTGTTTTTTAATTATTTTTCAAAGCAGCTGATTCGATACTCCACTGACTCAGCAATGTATAAATCTAAATACATGTACACTTACATGAGTTCAATAAACGAGCACTAACAGTTCTCTTCCTTCCTCTCGAAAAAGACCCGTAGTAATCATTGCATTGCATTATCATTGTTATGAATTGTAACTTTATGTTAAAGCTTTTGCAATACTGTAACTACATAATTATAGTCATGCAAATAAAGCTAATGTTGTTGTTGTTAGACCGAGAAGACATTGGTTGAAAAAGACCGGAAAAGAGTTTTCTTTTTTTTAATAGGCCTGGACAGTGAATGCTTTGCTTAGTTTCCGCTCCCTTTTAATTAAGAACATGAAGACTATGAATGGTGCGCATAAAGTTTAGATACCTATTTTACAAGTTTGAAGAAGCGGCGCAATTTTGGGTGTAGCGTGAGTATAAATACCCGACTCGGAACCATAGGTTGTCAGCCTTTCCCCACTCGGCAGCAAGGTGTTACGTCTATCATCGCGCTATTAAAAATACGGCTTTCTCAAAAGACAAACCTGTCTACATATAAAACTGCTTCAGTGATAGATATATCAGTACGGTTACAAGATATTCAGCCATGCAACATCTCCAATTCCGCAACTTTTAAGGAAAAGGGTTCAGTGTTATATTGCTAGCCTGCGTAGCAGGCGCTCCTTCTCGCGCGCGCGTTTTTTCTTGCGCCCATTTATTTGCGCCCATTTATTTCCTAGTGCCTGCTACGCAGGCTATTATATTGCAGGAGCGGTGCACGTAAACTGGAAGTGAGACCTTTTCGGCGTTATTTGCATAACGATATCATATTTGAATCGCTTAAGTCTATTTACTCTAATGGAGACGATTTGACCAAAAAATTTTGCCAAAGCCACTGTCCAAGGACGCAAAAAAAAAAAGCTGGAAAAAGTTTTGGCATTATATCAACAGCATCCTGGCTCTTTAGTTCCCTGATCAGGAGCTCCATTAAAACAAGTGTCAGAAATCTTCAAGAGTATAGGGTGTCAACGATTGCATGATCAATGGGAATAAAATCAAACAGTGGGCTTGATTTACAGCAGTAATTGGCTTTAGCTGTTGCGGTGTCCCTGCCCAAATATTTAAGTTATTATTAGTGTATTGTTACGTTCTTATTACTAGTGTTCGCATATCTTCATTTTTTTTTCTGTATTCTTCAGGGCAAAGCTAATAAAATAAATAAAATAAAATAAAATAAAATATATTGCTTTGGTCTTGAATAGTTAGTAATTTCCTCGCATGTCCTTGCCGCCCCACAATGCTTCAGTGACAGTCCAGGTTTTATTTTTGTTTCATCATGGCTGTACTCCGGTCTTGTAGTTTACATTGTCAACCTCAATTTCCTTTAAGTGGGCCATTTCAGTTTTAATATCTGCCAGATTCTCTTTTAGTCACCAGTCAGTCTCTGTTGATTTGATAATCCCAAGCACATAGTTTGCCCTTTTCACTCATGTCATTTTCTTTTTCATTTAGGATGGTATGAGTGAAGTTCACTTTAAGTCTCTTTCCAATACGGTTAGATCTCCACTCAGTTTAATTCTAATAATTTCCTGTCTCTCCAGGGATCCTTTAATTTTGCTCTTTAGGCCTTCCTTCTGGAAAGTTTGCCCCCGCTGGCAATACACTCGGGGGTAGTCAGCGGTCTCAAAGCCATGTAGACCCTTGGCTGCTCATACACAACGTAGTTACTTGAGCAACATGGCAGAGGACATGATGCAGGAAAATGTGGAAAACAAATCACCCCAGCTGAATCAAGCCGGAAAGAAAAGTACGTTGTTTTTACTGAAAGAAATTAAAGGGATTTATCTCTTGCTCGAAAATTTCTGTTTTATTTATTCCCTTTCAGAGCCTTCCCGATCAAAAAGACCTGGATACACAAAAATACAAGCGGAACAAAAAAGGTGAGGGCCGTGTTTTGGTTTGCCAGAATTTATTAAGATTGATCATTCTTAGTGGTAGTTTTTGAGAATGCACTTTTGTTTAGTGTTTTTGTGAAAATTCTTAGTACATGTATCAGTCTATTTTTTTCAGGCTAAAAGATCTTGAAGCTTCAATTCGTTCACAAGTGGCTGCTGAAGAGAGAGCTCATAAAATTGTAGAGAAACTTGTTCTTGAGGATGAAATCTCAGAGGAATTTCTTCTACAGTCAGTGAGTTTCAAAATGTGATATTTTAAATTAACTCTTCCCTTTCGTAATAATTTTTAATTTAACAATAAATTAACAGAATTCTGAAAGTTGGACCTTTCACCACTCTCCCTCCCAACTTATCAGCCCTCTGTGTTCAACACCGATGTTAAAAATATCTAAAAACAAGCAACACTAGCTTTATTTTCTTTCTCATTAGAAACACTGATTTGGCTGAATAATTCACAATGCAAAATGTTTATCATTATGACTTATTATCCTGGGCAACAGGCGATTTTGTTAGAAAAAAAAAGAAAGAATAAACTGGGTTTTTTTGTTATTATATACACTGTACCTGCCAAGTCTCGCATTTTATGCTTGAGTCTCATGCCTGCGTACTGAACACATTGATGTCACGCATCAAGGACAATTTCTCACGCTTGACTCACAAGTCCAGATATATTGTTCTTTGAAGACTGTGTGGCTAAGTGGTTAACACCC